TGGCCTCCCCTGCGATATAAAGACCAGCTGGAGAAAGGCTTGGCTCCACTTGGCATTTCCAATTGGCATCAGTTCGCGCAAAAAAGTAACGACTGGCGTGCTTTGTTGGGCTCCGCTAGAATCACNTGTTATGTTGTGTTATGTAACGTTATGTTTTGCTATGTTACGTAATGTTATGCTATGTTATGTTATGTTATCTTATGTTATGTTATCTTATGTTATATTATGTTATCTTATGTTATGTTATGTTATGTTACGTCATGTTATGCTATGCTATGTTATGTCATCTTATGTTACGTTAAGTTGNCAGTTTTCCGACTGAAAAATATTGATTTTTAAGAGTTTTATACCATTTCTACGAAATATGGTTTTTTCTCCATATAAAATACATGGAAAACTTTGAGCGCTTTGAGCACCCTCTAAATATTTTTTGATTTCAAAATAAAAAAATAGGGGTATATTTCTTTCGATATAGAACAATCCTAGGGGGTGCCGGCATTAAAATTGCAACTTAATTTTTTTGGACCACTCTAATGTACATACATAAGTACTATTTCAAATATTCGTGGAAAAAAAACAGTAAAAACATTTTGTATATGTTTAATCGTATGAACAAAATATGCTACAGTTAAATAGCAGCCGCAGCGCTAATGCCGATTTCAATAAATATCCGTAAACGTTTTGTGATTAAGTAAACAAACCAAATACATTGCAGTACAAATAATTGGATAACGCCGCATAAATATTTTCGCAATAGCCGCAAAAGGTATGCAAATTAAGGTGGAAATGGAAATGTGTTAAGAGAATAAATCGTTTAAATGATAATTGAAATGGAAATCAAACGCAAATAAGTTGGATACAGACCAATATTTGTATGTATGATAGGGGTTAGTAAATAATAGCGTTATCTTAGCGGTTAATGTAAACGAAGATGATGGTGCCAACTAAATAATATGTAAGAGTATTGGTGCGCTTGCTGGTTTTTAGTAGTGATGCTTATGCTGTGTTGTTTGATTATATGGTGCGTAATAGTGACACTACTGTCAACACTAAAGTGCTTTTTTCTTTTATTTATTTATTTTTTTTTTTACTTTATCAGTTGGTTCTTCACCTTTTTTTGTGTAATTTTTTGTTGGAATTCTTATATCATAATGGTTTATTTATTTCACTTTTTTTGCATTTTTTTTTTGCTACGGTGCCATTGATTGCGAATTGCTTTTAAAAATGCTTGGTGCGTCGTGTCTCAAGTGCCGATGTTATCATGCCATTTTGTGATTTTGTGCCGCTATGTTCCACCAAAATTCAAGATGCAGATGCGCCATTTCACAATTTAATTACTTTGTGCATATCAATTGATGATTTTATGTTTATATCTTTGTGGTTGATAGTTAAAAAAATTTGTATGCGCACCACATTGTAGGAGCACTTTACCCTTAAGCCCGTTTACGCGTTGTCGCAGTGCCCTTACAAGTTCGGTCGCGTACTATGTATTGTACTTTGATATGATTTGTGAGGACTCTATAATATATATATAGTAATAAGCGAAATTCGAAATATTGCAAGTAAAAGTTAATTGAACTGAGTTCAATTCCAGCCTTTTCACTTTTTCCCTAGACGTTTTGAACTGGAATGGAAAAGAGGGTACACAGTTGCTGCCTAAATAATCTGAATTTAAAGACAAATTTAACAGATGANCCCCTTAATTTAAAAGGTTGAATTTCAACCGCTGGGCGAACACTAGTACTAATAGATACACATGTTTCTAACTAAGATTTCTAAACAGAAATGGAAACAAATTTTTGGGCTTCTTGCAGGAAATATAGTATGACTTTGATGTACCTTGGAAAAAGACAGCTTCTCAGCAACGAAAAAACACCCAAAGGGGCAGTGATATCGCCTCTATTGTGGTCGACCGTAGGGGGCGAAGTGCTCTGGTTATTGAGCGACAAGTGCTAAGCGGAAAACATTGCTATATTAAACAGAGGTCGGCTTGAAGACTGTCTCAAATCTCCTAGAGAGTGTGCTGAACACTGACGCCAAATGATGCAGTCAAAGAACACTAACATATTTGATTTCTACAGTAAAGGAAAAAACTGTTAGAGCCATGTCTTCAGGGATAAAAAATACACTTCTATTAAAAAACCAAATAGCCCGGAACTGTACTTTGTGAAAAGATCTTATGGAGCTCGCACCTAGATAAAGCTATACAAGGGGCCAAGACCTTCAATTTGACCTGGCGGAAACTAATGGGAAACAACTAAATTGGCTAGCTGGATTATGAAACCATTTCAAAAATCCGTCCAATATATGTCGGGCCATTGTGCTGGAACAACACATAAATGAAGTCCATGCAGGCAACCATTGTAAACTCCAACGACTAGCCTGCGTGGAAATATACATATAATCGCCTGTCGGACAACAGCGATAGTCCAACGCGAAATATAATAGCCACAGAAGAAAGGCGTCGAGCTATGGTAATCGGGCAGAAACGATGAGACAAATCAGAAAAGGGAGATGGACCCACAAGCTCATCCCCAACCTTGAAAAATGGCTGAATAGGTCTCATGAAGAGATCTCCATAGAGTTCGGCATATCAACTAACGTTCGAGGTGCACAGGAATAAGGAAAAACCCGAAACACATAATGTTCTCTTGCCCTCACTAGAGCACAACGACAAACTAGATTATATGTTAGCGTCAGGTGAAAACTGGCAGAAGATATGCGCTCATGTCACACGCATTCATCTACACACACACACACATATATGTATGTAGATGTAAGACGAACTGAGCATCTAAGTAGCCGTCGCAATACGCAAGAAGAATTTGAGCCAACCAACCTTGTGAAGTAATACCTTGAATGGCAATTTCACGGGGAGAGTGGTTTGTGGAGAGATTGTAGTACGTAAAGGAGCCGTGAGGCTGCAAGTCGTGCATGCTACTATGCCGCTATGGTAGCACTCGTGAGAGTTTCCTTCTTCATGGGCGTCATCCTAGACAAAAAAAAACCTGCGTGGGCATTACTTTGCAATGAGAATAACATCAAGCTCGCAGCGATTCCAGATCTGCATCTTCTGCATATCGTAATTCAGAGAAACTCTCATCTTAGGGAACAATGCAAAAATATTTCTAAGTAAAATATATGGCACACAGTCATGGCAATTTCTACCTGACTAAATTCAAATTTAGTTCGCATAAAAATTAAAAGTTTCGTAAGCTATGAGCTATTTTCATGATTTTAAATAGCGAACTGTAACACCTTAAAATCGATCATAATTTAAATATTTATAAAGAAAGTTTTCTTTCTATTTTGACTATTTTTAGGACTCAATAGTAAGCTTTCCATGTGGCAACATAAATATATGTACACTAAAGTTTTTTACCCTTTGTTCCGACGATATGAAACTAAATTTTTGAAGCCAGCTAATCAGAACTTGGTGGAAATAAAACTGTCAATTTGAGCTACTGGATGGTTAACCAACGACCGACTCAGGCATTGAGCAAAGTTTGACAGCGGTTACTCATTTGTCACATAAACGCATACAATTTTTTCTTATTTCCTCTCGGTTTCTCATTTCATTATTTTTTATTCTTTGTCCTCTATTTTTCTGTCTTCAGCACCCAACTTCAAGACATAATGCCCTGTCAAAAATGAAAATTGCATTTGCTCGACGCTAAGACTATTTTCAAATAGGCACCTAATTGGCAATTAAGAACCTTTTCACCAATTTAAGCCTTAATTGTTACCCAATTTATCATACAAAAATTCAAATTATTAATTGCCAATCAATAATTAATTGGCAAATAATTTGTGACAGATTCTCTATGCAACCCTGATAGGTATGTTTAATTTTGACTTGAAGGTATGTTTATTGAACAAAGAGCAATCAGCTGTTTGTTTCTGGTCCTCCTTTACAGCTGATATTCCATCAGGGAATTGTACCTTATTTACGGAAAACTTTTCCTAAAAGTAGATGGATGTTCCTAAAAAGTAATTATGTATTTCTTTATAAAGAAAATAGGAGGACAGCAATTCCCATCGATACCATATCAACTTCTGCACTCACATTAAAAAATTTTGGCTATGAAAAGAACCTTTTCGAGCAGCGCGAGATAAAACTATCTGGTGAAACCAACTACAGTAACGTTACTTTGAAGACCCTTCTGTATAATTTGTATGCCACTTCTCAAAGGAGGGAAGCTATTAAACCAGTTGCCTGCACCAATAAAAATAAGAACTGATTTCCTGAGAAGTTATTTGGCTACGTTTCAAATGTACCTAAATTAGTGTGTTTGTACCGAATGTAATTTCAAACTGAATAAAGGTACGATTGTACCAACATTTCCATCACTGTAGGTAATCCAGCAGCTGATTTCGTATCGCTAATTGCGCAGCTGACGTGTGTGTGAACACCAAACGCAATGCCGCAATTTAAAGCTTAATTGCCTAACAGCTAATTGGCCTGTTTGAACATAGTCGAACGCTTCTTTATTTCGGGATGCTTCATACAATTCTTCTATCCACTTCTACAGACTTTCTTCCTCAGTAAGCTATAAGCTGTATGGCTATTTCTTAAAATGTTTACATTGGTAATGCAGTCTTGCCTTTCATGCGAGTAGTGCCATTTCAGTATTATAGACGGAAATAGGTAAATATTTGATGTGGTCAGGCTCAAGTTCGTAACACCATTGATGTTTCCTTCCATATACCTTTGTATGTAAATATTACTCCCTCCAATCAAAGTACAATACACATTAAATTTTTTTACAATATACATATTACTTTTTCAAATATTTGGTGCCATACTACATACGTATTAATATTTGGTGCTGCAACATATACTGTTTTGGTGCCAAATATACATAAGTACATAATTAATTATGTATTTCTGTAAAGTGCATTAGCGTGAAGCAAGTGCTCGATTTTGTATTTGCATACATTATGTAGTTAGTTGTTTGCTTGGTGCCATATTAATTCAATTAGTTCATTCACAAATTTACCCGAAACGGATAGTACCGCCGTATACTCAACGGATCCCGCACGATTGCTGACACGACACGTGTAGTTGCCATTGTGACGTGATGTCACATTATGTATAGAGATGATACTGGAAAATGGTGCATACTCGTTGATGGTGAGCGAGCCATCTGTTGGACTGTAACTTCTTCCACCGCCAACACCGTTGCCACTGGCAATGCCACTGCTCTGTGAACGACCACCACCCAATTCATTTGCTATATTAACGATGGGTGTTTGTTGGACAGCGTTGTCCAATATGGGTGTGCCATCTTTTAGCCATGTTATGTTGAACGGCTGATCCCCCTGACTACTTGAGCACATAAGCTGGGTGCGCATACCCTCGGTGATTTCCTCTTCGAAACTGAATGGTGAAATGCGTGGGGGAACTAAATGTGTAGATTTAAATATGGAAATGTTTAAAAACTTGGATCTAGAAATAAAATGGATAGCTAGAAAAGGTTGAAAGTTTAGAATAAGGAATTAAACTGAAAACTAAACGGGGTCTGTTTTACCTATACTCGTTAATGAGTCACAGATTACACTGTGTAAGTTCAAAACTTGGGCTAAGTTTGTTTTTGGTAGTTGATCTAACTTAATTGGAGCCTTTTAAGTGGCGTCCTCCGGTTTGCCAGATTCGCTCCAGTTTAACGGAGATAACGGTGTTTCAAGTTTCCCTTGAGCCACTGAGATCTCATTGGAAACCAATTTGGCATCATAAAATTTAGGACTTAATCCTTAGTAAGTACTAATAATATAAGTGTGAAAGCTTGTGACTGTGTGGTGGATAAGTATGTTGGCAGCTCTTTCACGCTAAAACGACTGGATGTATTTGAATACAACTTGGCACACAGACTCATGGCCTGGATTAATATAATAATAATGTCAATTATTTTTAATACCCTACGTTAAACAAATATTAAAATTTAAAAGATTTTCCATTTTAAAATTTATGATGTAAAGCTGTTTCCAAATATGCTCTCAAGGACCCCCAGGGGAAACTCCCAATGCCGTTATCTATGTAGAACTGAAGTCAATCTTACAAAACGGGGGACGCCATTGAATTTAAAGGCCTCCAATTAAGTTAGATAAACTATAAAAACCGTTGCCAAAAAAACAACTTTAAAATCCGACCACTGTGTTATTATTTTTGAATATACGCGATTATCGCAGAAACCTTAATATGACAGTAAATTGTTAACAGATTGGAGTTCGGGAACAAAAAATATTTTTATCGATTTGGAAGTCGATTCTAAATTTCTAAAATACACAATTTTTGGTAATTTTCATATTTACCCTTTGATAAACCCAACCAATTTTTGAGATTTTCTTTCATTTGCTTCCATTTAATATAAAATATATCGTACTATAAACTTTTAAGTGATAAATAATTGAGTTTGTATAAAATTTAACTCAATCAAAATTATTATGATATGTGTAAATTATATTTAGAAAATTCTACAACCAGAGCGAAGCGGCTATAGCCAACTCCATTACCTCACTGGTAAAACACATATACATTCAAAGCAGACTGAAAACAATTTTAGTTTGGTTTAAAACTTTTCTAAGTTTAGCTTTAACTTTCAAAAAGTTTAAATAATATCTACATGATACAAACTTACATACGTACTCGTATGCATAAGCATAAAACCGCAGTATATTCATCGATAGCATTAAACTACAGCTTAATGTTGCTGATATTTGTCGGTACATACTTACTTTTGTACGTAAATAAATAAGTATTTGTCACAAAAGTGATACTAAAAAGAAAGATTTGTCGTTTCGAGATTTTTTTAACACCTTGACTGCCAAGGTGCTCTTAGGGCCGTTTTCTCGACTGCCTGTGGAAAATTGATGACCGGTCAAAGCGCCGGTTATCTTTACCAGGCTGGATAGAAAACTGCCCTTAGTAGTTAAAAGCTTACTCCGCTGCTAATTAAGATCTCCGCTAGAACAATTCTAGCTGATTTTAAACCGTTCAAGATACAAAGATACAAAAAAAAAATCAGCGCTAAATGAATTTTTTATTTACTAATTTCGCAAATTATTTTTTGTTATTTTGGTGTTTCTGCATAGAACTGTGCATCTATCTCCATCGGGTAGAAGAGAGAGGCAGAACTAGTAACTGTGGGCCCATTGTGGTAGCGTTTGATTGCGCGTTTGAACCAATGTTTCCGCCAGGCAGTCAAAGAAGTGATGGTAAAATTAGCATTCTAGTCCACGAAAGGACAGAGCAGTGGCAAAGATAATTCTCTATGCTTTCGTTTGTTTTTTCATCACGGCGACTGTAGCAGAAAACGTTGGTCGGTTAATCCATTTGCCAATGGCCGGTCACAATTTCGGTGACTAGCCTAAGTAGTGGATATTATAAACGAATGAAAGTGGGCCAGATCTCTATAGATCTCTCGGGTAGCCCAACAAGTGGCTTATGTCGTCGATATTTTATTTGCCTCATCGAAGAAATGTAATTTAAGCAATGATTTGCAGGCAGTATGTCCAGGTTTTCGTCCTCGCAAGTTCGCCTGGCATTGCAATTACCCCGTATATCTCTTTGACTTGGTCCACACGCAAATTCGGTTTTAAATTTGATAGGGACTTTCCTACATTCTGTTGCCACTTTGAGAAGTTTTCACACCGCTAGCTATTACAGTAGATAGTTGCTGTGCGCAGGTAAAAAGAAGAGTTGATAAACCAAACTGCATTCTCCATCATTCTCAAAAGGAGTAAGTGTGGAGAACTTGTTCTCAATACCGAAAGGAGGTGTTCTGTAGGCTGGAGTCTTCGGTGTCGGCGGAATTGGTGAGAACATTGAAATGGCAGGATCTGGTGCGTTTGCGATTTTGTAATCAATTTAGTCATACATAATTACAGCTCGTCTGAAATTTTCCAAAAAGGTCTATTGAAAGACATTGGAGAAGGGTTTCTTGAGGTTTATAGAGCGTGCAAGACAGCGCATCCGCGATAACTATGCAGGACGGCCTTTGTACTTTGACAAGTTTTACGGCTGCCGTATGAAAACAGTGCACTATGTGAGATTTGAGATCGCTCTGTGCAAGCGTACTGAGCGGTAATGCCCTTCATGGGTTGGTCCTCAAGATTTTCACTTGACTCAAAGTACACAATTCAGTTTTGCTTGTAAAGGGAACATTAAATTTTTTTCCCGATTGGCACTACACTCCTTCGTCCATACCCCACAATATTTAAGTCGTTCTGCAGCAGTGCAAGTAAAACTTGTGTGGATATTTGTCGGTTACTTTTAGGCCCCGGTCATCTGCGTAAGTATTTGGAGGATGTTCACCGCTGTATTGCACAAGCGGAGAAAAGTATTCCTCCTAGTGTAGTATCTCTTGACACATATCTGCAGATACAAACGAATTATTTGAAGACGGACAAAGCTAAACAGAGGCCAACGCTTCTGGGAAAACTTCTTCGACATCTAGTTAAATACTTTATTTTAGCCTTGGGAAGCCAAGTTTTTTTTCGATATCGGTAATAACTTTGTAGAGTGCGAATTCCACAGATCCTCCCTTAGCATAGGTACACTAGTAGGAAATCAGACTGCTTCATTAAATATACATTTTGGCGTACAGTATTTTCTAGAATTGTTAGAAAGAAAGAACAAATACAAATGGAAGAAGCAATTTTTTTCGCTACCTCCGAATGGCAAGTGGTAGTTTGCGAGAAGCTCTTTCATGGCCAAAATATGGTCTGAGGGCGTTGACAGATCGCGCTAGGGAAAAATTTGTTTTTCCTCAAACCATCGAAACTGGGTAATATTCATCAAGTATCTAGGATTCAAATTTATATTAAATGCTTGCCAATGCTTAAAAGAACACCTAGAATACGTGAGTCAAAAATCAGAAAAAATTCGACCCTTTTGTCCAGTATGATGCCAAAAAACCGTGGTCCCAAAGAGAATTGAAGCCGTCAAATTCAATTTAATAAACAAGTTGTTTCACAAAAAAAAATAATAATCAAAAGAGCCTTGACTCCTTTTTTAAAATTAATTCAGTAAGTTAATTTAAAGACAACAGAATTCGGCATCATTTGACGTAACATGATTTAGTTCGAAAATATTTTTAGACGTGGTTGCCAAAACTAAAACAAAAACCAAATTCCATTTAAATTTTAGGTTAAATAATATATTTACGAATGCCAAACAAAAGCGGTTTATGAAGGCTTTCTTTCGAAAATATTTTATTTAAAGCGTTTGACATCATCTGACGCAATACGCCTTAGAAAGTATTTTTAAAGGCGGTTGCCACCTGTTTATAATGCAAGTTTAATTTAGTTACTAAGCTAAATTAAATATTACAGTACATATACGACATCTTTTGACGAAAGAGGTTTACAAAAAAGTATGTTTCGAAAATATTTATTAAAAGGGTTACCACCTATTTAAAAGCTAAAACGAAAGATGTTTAGGAAAGTGGTGTTTCGAACACATACTTGAAGAGGGGAAAAAGTTAAATGAAATTTTACTTGATGTCATTTGTCAAAACAAGTTTAAGAAAACTTTAACTTAAAATAAATTTTTTTATTCATTTATTTATTTCGAGTATTGCCACCTCTTTAAAAACAAAAATTTGATCTCTTGAAATAGATATGCATAGGTGATATCAGTGATATCAAACGAAAGACGTTTAAAAAAGGAAATTTTACTATATGGGGCCCAAGGCTTTATTTCGAAAGTTGTTTATATGAGGGAGAAATTGAGCACAAATATTAAAACGAACAGCACGCGGAGAAAGCTGCGGCACGAGCTAGTCATGTATATATTTTTTATTAACTTGCTAAAAATTCCATGGCAGTCAAAGTGTTAAGGTTAAGTCTTTTATACACGGGGTATTGATATCACTATATATGGACTATATTTGTATGTAGATGGTGTTAAAAACGAATTTATTTTCAACGAGAGCTTTGAATGTAACTGTGTATTTGTGATAAATATCTATTGTGCTATATATATATATCTATATATTCATATATAAATTTTATTCAATGGCTGAAATTGAAATACAAAAAGATTATTTGCCCAAAAAATAAAATGGGTAATAAATACTAGCGAATACAATTTATATGTATTTTACATGGGCAGAAAAAATGCTATACAAATACCCGTTATATATATGTATTGCAATTATATGTGCGCCAGTGAATCCATTCATTTATAACACTTACAACCAATAACGAAGAATATATGTATGAATGTACGTAAGTAAAATTTTTTTCTATACTATACTATTTTTCCACGTAATGGAAGGCATGCATTTACATATATACGAACTTATAGATCAAAATACATACATATGTATGTATCTGTGAATGTGCTTTTATGTGCTCTAACATGAATTTGGCTATAAATTTTGCCAAAAATTTAGACGAAAAC